GTAAAAGTTGTTTTCTGAAGAGCGGGAACAGCTATTTCCGTTGGTTATCGTTGCACTCGGGGAAGCAATAATATGAAACGCCTATGTGAAAAAGATATGCACTGTCCACTTTAGTGCCATTTATCATCCGTTTCTGGGCGATGAACAATCGGTTTTACACGACCATGGTCTGCTATCGCTTCCAGTTTTACGTGAGATCGTGAATCAAACCAGTTAGTTTATTTCGGAAAAACTTTACTGTCCTTGTCAGACTGTGCGGTTCTGGTGTCTGTCTCATTTAGTGCCCCTTATCTTGTTTAGTTTACACCTACCCCTTCGGACTGGCCTTCCTTATTGGTCCTTTTTTCTTCAAATTCTATTCGGTGCCAATATTACGTTTTAGCTCCACAGCCCGGGTTACGAAGTGTGCTGTCCCGAACGATTTCTGACAGTGGATGCCATCGCACTCGTCTCCCACTCAACCGCGCACACTTAACGTGTTTAGGTCTTGTGTGGTTTGCCACTCCAAGTTCCAGGGGTTTTATATCAGCGGTGAAGATAACCAACGGTCGATCTTTGCGAGTATCGGCTTCACCCCGTTTAGTGTTTGCTATACGCACTTATCTAAAATATCAGAACTAAGAGCACAGAGGTATCGTATTGCAAAACAAAAGCCTGATACATTGTGATTGTGTGTTCCGAAATATAAGTCCATTTTCTGTTTGATTTAGTGAAAGATCTTTAAATATGACCAAATTATTCATTGTGCTCACTTATCTGGATTGAGTTCTTAGCCCTTTTAGTTACTGGTCCCAATTTATTCAAAATTCGAACTCTCTCTGCCTCCCCCTCCATCCTCAGTCCGTTTCGGAAAAGTCACTGACGAACCATGTGCTTACCGTTCCCATTCGCGAAGAAGACACTCAAGATGCGACTCAGCTGGACGAGGCTACCTCTGTTGGGGCTGAAGACCTACCACCGTTGGAACAAACCAAACCTGAACTGAGTCTAGATACGGTCGACGGACCTGTCCACCCGGTTGATAATCAGGATACTGATGCAGAGGCACAAATTCGAGCCAGTTTGTCGCAGATCGCTTCAAAATTGGCCGATCTCCCCACAGCGCGTCACCAGGCTGTTCTCATGGATGTTCTGAGCACTTTCAAATCACTGATGCACTGATGTTGGATGACATTACTATTCTCATACATTTCCTTTATTATTAATCAATCTTTCTTATCGATTCCACCTACCTACCATATTACTCCCCGACGTCGAACTTTTCACCTCAAATCCAGATTAAATTTTTTAGATCCTTTCAGAGTTCTCATACGCTTTTATTTTGACCCGCCTATTTGTTGCCTGCATGCTGTGTATAGGACTTCTTCCACCGGTTTGCATTTCCTGCTACCTCCCGTATCATTTGTATAGATGCGGCTCTTTTAACTGTTCTTGGGGGCTTTGATGAAACTAAATAACTGAGCAAAATACATGTGTGCTGTATGCCTATCTTTTTCCCGATCGATTCGCTTATCCTCATGATTTGGACGCACTGGGTCCCCTCTGTCCATCGTATCAAGACCGAAAGAAGAAATATGTGTCGCGAGATGTTAACCTTTTGGTTTGATCTTCCCAATCGCTGACGTGTAACCAAACATGCACATTGGATTTGTTTCAGTTTGTACGACTGATTTGGATTTGTAGTGAGCGGACATGTAGGGTTAGACGGGGGCTATTCGAATTAGAAAACATGGTCAAATCCGCGGCAATTGAACTGATTGGATCAACAACTTTTGGGTACACAGAACGGGATTATGTAATCGGAGTAGTAACGCCTCATTTATTGCCAACACTTTTGCATTGGAGTTACGTAACAACGGTTTTTAAAGTGGAAGCGGGGATTGTCATGACGTGTTTTGCAATTGATGACCTCGGGTTACATGTGACCGCCTGATTACTGGGCGTGGATTGCGTCATCGGCTTCACCAACCACTTTGGAATGTGTTCGGCCATCCGCTATGATACTTGATGGTTGTTTCTGCCTGTGATATTTGGATCCTGGGTTGTTTATCCTCGAGGCTTCACGGATCGCTCAATTTGGAGCCACCTTGCTCATAAGTGCGAACCAGTCGGCTTCGTGGATGTATCGGTGACTTAGTTTGTTGTTTATAATACAGAGTAGCACACTCGTGACCCCTTGACGGTTTTTCTTTAACTACGCACCTCTCATCCGTGCGCAGACGAAAAACACTTATACGGCAGTAGTTTACGGTCATGGATTCTTGTTTGTCCTCAGTGAATGATTGCTTTCGAACAACTGCCATTTCACTAGATATGCTATTTCGTCTACAACCAAATATCTCTGATTGCGACATCTGGGCAAACATAAAATGTCACTTCCGGTCCACCGCTGTTCCGCACTAGGTACATCAGCGGTATCAGATCTTCCTTATAATGAGTCTGGAGTTCAAATCCCAGGCTGGATGGGATTGATGCGTACTATTG